GAGGTTCTCGTCGTATGTTCGGCGCGACTGTGCGCAGCGTCGTCACGGTAGGCAGCTAGCCCCCCGTCGTCGATAGTCAGCTCGGTGCACCGGGAAGCGAGCGGGGCTTGCCAACGGTGGTGGCAGCGGCGACGATTTGCCGGTGCACGAACGGCCGGCAGCGCGGTGCGACGGCGACGAGAGAGCGGGCCATCGGCGGCGGCGGCGGCGGCAGCGGCGGAAGTGGCGGCAGCGAAGCAGCAGCGCGTCGAAGGTGGGCGGCGGTACGACGCGTCGAGCATTCCTCGTTCCTCTCCTGTCCCCGACCCCGGCTTTAAAGCCCAGTTACAGCTCCGGCTCTAAGCTCCTGCTCTAGCTTCTGTCCCCGGTACCCGATCGCTGCTCGCTTCGGCCCACGCGAGCAGAGACTTCGCGAGAATCCGTGACGTGTAACTATAGCGCGTGACAATTCGGCTGTGCTGCGTGAAGTGCAGAAACTCGAAGGCTTCCATCGAGCCCCAAAATTCGGAAGCGGGATAAAACGTGCAAAGGAAAGAGAGACGTAAGGAAAGGACGTTTCCTTGGTAGCTAAATCGGCGATCGCCTTCGGGGGAATAGAAAGATGAGCCAACGTAACGCCGGCAAGATCACGGTGCCGGACGACCTGCGCGACGTCCTGCTGGAGTTCACAATCAGCTACTTGCTGGAGCAGCCCGGCGACATCATTGACTACGCTGTAGACTTCTTTACGCGGCTACGTGACGCACGACGTACGCAGATTATTAATACGGATCAGATCTACCCGACCACGCCGGATGAGTTTGTCGATGAAGGTGAGTCTTGGGAGAGGACGAGATGTCTTTCTCTCTTTCCTGTCTCTCTCTCTTTCTCTTTCACGCTCTCTATCCCAGTTTCCGTCTCACGGTATCTCACGATCAGAGGCGATTCCGTCAATAATGCTTGTCCACAGGAACCGACGGTCTAACAAGATGGATAAATCCATAAAGATCCATTCTGAAGCTTTATGACCAAAATGAATTGTATAAACTATGACTGTGTTAAATTTTTCAAGTAGAAGACTTTTCATCTTTATAATTCTTTATGTGAGAAAAATTGATCAAATATATCTTCTAAAAAATCTAAAATGAGAAGAATGTTTTGCATATTACAGTCAATGCTCCAAAATAATATCAATTGATATTTGATTCCTTAACATTTTTCTGTTTTGCTTACAACAGTGTCCCGTTAACTTTTCTTAATTTAATTAAATTAATAAATTATCGGCAGGGCATTTATTGAAAAATTTGTTCAATAATAAAGATTTCACTATCATTAATTTCTCGAATTCCAGAAATTAAGCGATTTTCTCTCTTCAATTTATGAGAAAAAAATCAGATATTGTTTGTACAGGTATAGAGAGACGAATAGCTTGGTTAACTGATTGTGATTAGTGTCAATCATGACGTTAGTAGAGGCAAGTTTGAGCTGGTCGAGAGCTGTTCCAATCGATATCAGTTGTAAGTTAAGCGTGCAGGGTCGATTCTACCAACGTCAATTGACTCGTCGTCGCGGTTTCGATTCTCACTTTCTTTCCGGGGTGAGTAAAAGACGGAGAGGTGGGCGGAGAAAAGAAATGTCGTGATTCCGGATATAATGCAGCATATATAATATCAGTAATTTACCAGTAATAGACGGTAATAATAATTTAATAAAATTGAGCAATCGATCATTTGTTCCATGCCGTATTCTCTGTTTGTCCTTTTTCTCAATGGCTGCGTTCAACAGAAAAAAAACATGCGTTTAGATTCAATGAAGAATTAAGAGGAATTAAAAACAAGAATTATTTAAACCCATTCTATAATTGCATAAGTGTAGTAAATGGTTGTACTTGTAAGAATTAACCAATCACAGTCAAATATTAGAAAAATATTCGACTGTATTTAGTCAATTCTTACAATTATAACTACTTACAATTATCCTTACACAATTGTAGAATGGGTTTTATATTAAAAGATCTTACAACAGTCGTAAAACTTTTTCTGCTGAACGCATCCATTGATCGATCTATTTAGCGATCATCCACTGAATGGATTTAGATTCGACCACCGATATGCTAATTAATTCCGGAGTTAGTTGACTAAGTCTCCTCTTCCTCAGGATAGTAACGTTGGTGATGTAATATGGGCAATTATGTGGGATTAGTGCTGAACGATATTACTGGAATCTGTTTCTAAATGAGCCACGCACGTAATGGTAGTACGAAATGTATGTCTGAATAAACACTGGGATGTTCCACTGAGAAATGCATGCGATATTGAAACGCTTCTATTCGCATGTTTCTAATTCAATATCAAATTCAAAGCTTAAATATCTTTCTTTCTTCTCTCTTTTTTTTCGTTCTATAATATTCTTTCTTTCACGAAAAACAATACTTTTTCCTTTTTCCCAGATTGATTCAATTTTCAATCCTTTCTTACCAATCTACCCAATCAAGGAGAAAGTTCTTTAAATCTCTCGGAGAGACTCACGATAGAAAGATAAATGCTTTTGGGATATTATTGGATCCCTCTCACTGTCGAGCAGGCGAAAAGAAGATATTCTTGATTCCTGCCTGAGTCACACGAAGTATCCTTTTTATAAAATTGCACGGATTATTAAACTCCCCAACTATTACGTCTCGGCGAACAACTTCACTACGGGAGAACGAAAATAGATGTTCTAATATTTTTTCTTCTTCTTTATCAATGTATATCTTTATCAATGGCTGCATTCAGCAGAAAAGAGCAGCTTTGCAATTGTTGTAAAATTTTTTAATATAATTGGTCTCGTTCTTACTCACTGGATCAAAATATAAATCAGTCATATTAAAAAATTTTACAACAGTCAAAAACAAACAAAGCTGCTTTTTCTGTTGAACGCGTTTTTTTTCTCTTTCCTAATTATTATTTATACAAATTGTCTTTCTTGTTGCCACATACAAGGAGCTTATTACGATTTTTGGAGCGAGGTGAAAATTACAGAAGTGAGTGAATTTACTAGAATATTTATCACTTCATTGGACACACCTATATAATAAATTTGCTTTCGTAATTTTCACTTCGTTTCAAACGATTAGATTTTGTATCACTACATAATTCGGTGAAACTTACAAAAATTATTGAATTTATATTGGAATATTTATAACTTCATTAAACATCTAGATAGACAATCTAGTCAACATCTAATTTGTTCATTTTTTAAATTTTCTTCTCGTTTCAAAATACAAAATTATTACGTTTCAGGAATCGTAATAAACTCTCTCAGACTCCTTTGTGAGCAAATTATTTGGTCGCAAAGATCGCCCTTGCTGTTCGTCATGATACCCTCAGTTAACACATCATTCATGAAAAGTTCGATTCGTATTCCCGATGTGCCGAATATTCTAAAACAGTAAAAGAACTTTCACAGGGAGTGTAAATATTAATGAAATATTCGGAATATTGTATGAACTTCTTTTATGCGAGCAATACGCATCCCCGACGGAGGGTCGTAATAGCGAAAATGCATTAACTCGTAAATAAAAGGGGAAAGAGTGTAAAAAGCGTAGAGATGCGTTCAGAAATTATTCCTAGATAACTCTAGACTATAGTTTACGTCGCTATAATTTGTGTTACGTATACTATAACAAAAGTGCATATCAGAGTTATCTGGATGTAATTTCTGAACGCATCCTCTTGCATTTTGCTTATGAAGTGAATCCTCCAAAATTAGGTTCTAAGATGAAAGCATATATAAAATTTCTGATAGTACAATTTCATTTAATTAATTCAGAGACTTCCGAATATGGAATTTCTGGGAAAAGTGTGATTTCATGAAATATATAGCGTTGTATGAATAGAATGATATTTAATGATTATTTGTTCTAAATTTTTGGGAGTGAAGTTTCACTTCAAGAAAAGTGATAGTTGCAGTCTGACAAGAATGAATTTCACTTCACTCCTTCAAGGAGTGAATTTCCTAAAAAGTCAATTTTAATGATTAATATTTTGCTTCGTGAGACAGAACGATGCCTTTTTCTACTAGATTCATTTTTTTTGTGTAAAGACACATCGAATGAGCTTAATTTCGTCAAGATTGGATGTGGGCGGATTAAACTTAACATTTACCTTTAGTCTCTCTTTTCAGAGAATGAGATTATTCAGAGATTAAAAATTGACTCTCGCTTGAAATTTTTTCTTTATTCTCTAAGAGTGAAAATTTCATTCCTGGACTGACGCAACTAACCATTGTTCGAAAGTGAAAATTTTATTTTCAAAAATTTAGAATGAATGTTGCTTTTACATTAACTCGTAAATAGGAATCATATAGGAAAGAATATAAAGGTCATAGCATTTTAACTGTAAAGCGAGCCATTAAAATTGGGCTCCAAGGTCAAAATAAATGAAATGTGTTTTTGTGACAGTACAGTTTCGTTTAAAAATTAAAATTAATTCAGAGACTTTCGGACATGGAATTTCTGGGAATATTAATTTTATAATTGTATATGGAATATTCTCTGAATATGTAACGAGTGTGAATGGATATTTAACGATTTTTTGATTGTTGCTTTTACTACAATCTGAAAGTATTTCGAAATATTCCGAAATATTCTTGGAATGTCACATTTTACGAGTACTTCAGGAATATTTAGCATTAATTGGGATTTTATATCTCACTTCGAGTAATACATATTAATAAATTATCTCAGACTCATTCTGAGCTTTCGTGACTCCCCTTTCATTATTGTTCAAACATTTATTAACTCGGATTGAAGTTGCGATAATCGATCGAGATCCCCCTTCCCCTCCGGAAATTCTCTCACGTGTGTGGTTTCCGCGCTTTCCACCATCCTTTCCTTCTACCCCCAGAAAGCCTGGACTCGGTTATTATTGTCACGTGAGGCAAGGAAGGGGAGTATCGCTTCGATCTCGGAGATGCGCATCCGAAGAATCTTGTAGAGGAAAAACGCACGCAAAGTGGAGCACTCACAGTCGTTTAGTTGGAAGTTTCGCTGAAGTTTCACCAAACACATCGCTTCAGATCGACTCGATTCATATTTTTCGAGACCTGCGCGATTTGAGGCACCCAATTGCATCAACACGGGTCCAGTCGGGTCCGATCAGGCACTGTCGCGAGATGAGATTCTCGGATGCGCGGTGGTTTCGATATAGTTCAATATTTGTTCGTGTAGCGCTTTATACAAACGCTTAGCCGGCGACCGCGGTCTCGTCAGTACGACGCGATTGCACATCCCGGACGAGATCCTCTTCGTCTGTGCTTCTCGTCATTTATTTCATCTTTTCATCTTCGAAGGAGAAACGCGAGCGTGGATCAACGCGGATACGAATCTCGTAAATATATTCGCGCATCGGGGAATTCTTTTCCCAGCAGAAGTCGTAGCTGAAATAAAAAACGGAGCAATCCCTTTGATTAGTTTGACTGTTTAGTAAAGTTTACTTACGATCGTTGGATAAAATGCTTGGAGTAGAAAGGAAGAGGAACGCCTGAATATTTATGACTGCATTACTCTGTACGCGAATGCTGTACGTTCTGGAGTTATTTATCGCGCCCCGTTTATTTCGTATCACGTCAAAATTTCTTACCTTAATGTAATATTGTGATAAAATCGTGTCTGTGAATTAGTTGTTATAGTAGATACAAGGTATTGTCTACGATATATTTCTTGTTTCGTGACAAGTGAACGTGAACGTGTTGTCAAGAAGAACGAACGTGTTCCTCGTGCACGTTTCTGCCGCGTGTTTCTTTCTTCTGCGGACCAAATGTCGCTCATCTCCGTCATCGAGCCAGTGGATGACAGAGGTGCGAAAAAACGAAACACCACCGTTTCCGTTGTCTAAATTAATGACGAGATATAAGACAAAACTTTTGAGTCACTATGTACACTGAAAAAAATATTAAATTTTTTAAAATTTGGTTGTTTGGATAGTTTTAAGTAAATATTTATTAAATATAAACATATATATTTACTTGATACAAGAATCGCTGAGTTAATTTGATTAACTTATTTTTTATTAGTAATTTTTTTTCAGTGTATAACAGATTTCGCGACACTATGAAAACTTTGTTACATTTGAAAGGAATAATAGAAATGTATAAATTTGTCCCGCTTGAAAAAATAATAGGTTTTTTTAATCGCGTTTAATTGTGTAAAGTTGCACTGCACGGAGAAAAATTTGAGAAAGGATTGGGTGATTCAGCAAAGCTTGCTGCGCGAGTCTAACATTTATAATTAAAAAGATTCGATGGTTTACACGAAAAGTCTGTAATTATTAATATGATTAATTTAGCTAATCCTTTTCTACAATAAAAGTTGCTAATATAACAATAAAAATTGCTAATATTTTCTTCATAGTAGCAAAAATATGTGTTGCCTTAGCTAGCATGTTTCGTCAAAAAATTTTGATCTATATATTAGATTAATTTTAGAAAGTTGTTTTATAACAAATATGATTACCTAATTTCATTCAACTATATAACTAACTTTGTTGCTTTAACATAGAAAACTGGCTGTTAGTATATTATGACTGTAGAATCGGTTTTCAGTTGTTTTAACAAATCTTTTTTTTTTCCATGTGTTTTTCTCTCATGATATCTTTCATTGCGGAAGAAAAAAGAAAAAAGACACCATTAGTTTTTAAAAAAAGTTTTAGGAGTAAGTTGTTATTAATCTTTGAACTTTCAAGATGGACAATTTTCATGAAGAACTTTCACGTGTTGCACAGCGGGAAAATATATTTGTAATTGGGACGAGGTAAACCGACGGAACAGAATTTTCATCGTATAAGGAAATTCGTGTCTCTGGAAGAAAGATAGTACGAATTTGCGTTTAATATCCATATTCGATTTATGCGGAGTATTTCAAGACGAAAGGTCAATACTTCAAGAAGACGTCGACAGTATATCATTAAAGGAAAAAAAAGTTTCAACGAGTCTCTATCACAAATTGCAAAAAGATCGAAAATGAAACTTCAGCAAAAACTTCTGTCGCATAAAGCTGTAAAAGGATATGATATTTCTCTCTGTGAAACCATTCAAAATGCTAATGTTAAAACTCCGAAAATTACTGTCTATATTCCTTCTTCGTTTATTATCGCGGAGACCGGATTTTGCTGTAGCTAACTGCTGTAGCTAAACGAGCCAGCGTTTCGCATTTACATAATTGAACGACAGATCATTTTTTACACGACGGCTCTTGCAATCCACATCGAATTCTTGAAGACTGTTCTCTCGAAAATACAATCGTCCAATTACGTAAATGTTAAACTTAACATAGTAAACATGCATAAAATTGTTATCTATAATAAAGCATGGGCTTTCATTTTATTATCGCGATAATTCATAATTGTATATTTATAGATTCAAACTGTCGCAGTTGATCAAACTAAAAATTATTTCGTATCGAACGATATTGTCAATTTTTTTCTTTTTCTATTATCGTTAATAAGGATAACTGCGCCATTCTCTCCTTCAATTATACCTTATTTTACATTTTAATTAATCAACAATCAATTTAATCAATTTAATTGCTCTCCGTATATTTTGTCTTTTCTTAGTTTAATAGTAATTTTGTCTTTGTTTAATCGAAATGTCTCTTTTGTATTTTAGAGCCACCAGTCAGTCGATTTGCTTCCAGAAGGAAGAGCGTTTTCGCGGAGACTTACAATCCCGAGGAAGACGAAGAGGATGACGGCTTCAAGGTATATACAATACACATATATATATCACGTGTGTTACTATTACTATTCCACGAATTATTACGCATGTTCCCGATAACAAGACCGCACGAATAATGCATCATTTGCGAAGTCCGCGTTCATATTTTTCCAAAAAAAAAAAAAAAAGAAAAGAAAAAGAAAAAGATTGAAGAAGTGTCAATTGATTGAACAAATTACGTATCGATGCCACGATAAATTCTGTTAATGCAATCACGTCAATAGTACGCGTAATGATGTTTTATTGGCTTGATAGTTGCTCAAACGACGGCAGATTTGTTCGTCCCAAAATGTCATTTGGCCGTTTCTCTTCTCGATATGCGTCACATCACGTTGTCGTCGCTTTTAGACTTTGTATCAGATGTTGCAATAGCTAATATTTTTTCCCAGCAACGAAGGCTTTGGAAGTATACATTTTTTATGCTTGTCACGTCCGTCGAATTGGCGAAAACCGATGCGGCAATTGTAGCTGCGTAAGTAATCGCCGAGACCACAAAAATACATGTTCAGCCGAAGGAAAAATCATGTTGACGTAAGAAATTCCGCGCGAATATACTGAAACGTGATATGAAAGAATAAACTTTTTAATAAAGTCAATATTTTCGCTTAGAATTAGATTAAAATATTGAAATCGTCCTGTCGGGTGTCGGGTCTCCCACTTTTGGCGTGATGCTAAATCGAAAGCGCGCTCTTACGCATCTCGTTAATTACTTATTTTCTTGGAGTGGGCTACGAAAATCTAAAATCGGTCGACCCGAAGACGTGACGCAAAGTAACCACGCAAGTAGAGAACGGGTTTATATAACACATTCGCACTATAATGCATTCGCACGTATTCGTTATCGCCGGTATTTCGCTTCGACAAGAAGTGGCGATGACGAACGTTCCGTCTTCGATACGAAGGTTTAGGTTTTTTTTTCGGTAGTAGCAGAAAATAGAGCTCCTCTCTCTCTCTCTCTCTCTCTCTCTCTCTCCTCGTTACGAAATGTCGTTATACGCCACACGTGTATATGTGTGTATATATACACGAGGTACATAATATATATCACAGTCTATTAAAGCATAGCTGATGCACAGTCTCTCTCTCTCTCTCTCTCTCTCTCTCTCTCTCTCTTTCTCTCTCGCGCGCGCGGCCGCGCGAATGACGAAACGCGAACGAAGAGTTACTTTGCTCGGCGATGCGAGGTTGACGATGTACCTTTGTGACGTCAGGCCTCGTGTTCGATAACCTGGCATGGACGTGATTTACACGTATGTATGCAGCATCGTCATGTGTACGTATCGTATATACGCGCGTGAATGAGGGAGAAAGGAGCGTGTACGATGTATGTGTATGTACATATTTGTAGGGTAGTAAGGGGTTTTGCGAGGGGTTGGGTTCTCGACGAGAGAGAGAGAGAGAGAGAGAGAGAGAGAGAGAGAGAGAGAGAGAGAGAGAGAGAGAGAATTTTCACAAAGATAGCCCCGGTGAATCCGATTATCGTCACTCCGTGGTAGCTGGTTATACGAAGAGGAAAATCGGCTCTCTCTCTCTCTCTCTCTCTCTCTCTCTCTCTCTCTCTCTCCTTCTCCCTCCCTCCCCCTATAGGCCAAGTCGACCGATCATATTTTCTCTCTGTATGTCACGACAACTAGAACAATAGCAGAGAAAACTGGGACACTCGCGATTTTTAGAAAGGCCGAGACTAGACAACTTCGATGTATGTGAAGCTTCTTAACCGATAAAAGGTACATCAGATTTACTCGTTCTTCTTTAACGGTGAATTTCTCGGTCAATTTGGAGTCGATTTTTCCTTGCGCTTATAATATTCGCGTTATGAAGAAGAGCTTTACGCGAATCAAACTTTAGGACTCCGAATAGAAAAAAAAATCCACACTCAGCTAAATTCTTCAGTTAAAAAATAGAATTTTTAACTTTAGGCAATTGAAAAAATGCATGAAAATACTGAAGAGTTGCGAAGATAGAAAAATCGATTTTAAATTGTGGCATCGAAAGCTCTATTGTTAAAATATATTGCGCGCGCGATGAGAAACAGAACACCATGCGCGATAGAAAGGATAACGTGCCAAACATGCGATGAAATAACAGTTTTGCAAATGGCAAACGTCGACAAACGGTTGACCCTCGGTAAAGTTTTAATCATATACGATACACGCGGCCCGGCTGCACAATGGTGCGGCAGATGGGACACGTCGGTAATGGGAATGAGTAGGTTCCCTGCGAAATTGATCGTTTCTGTGTGCAACAATTGGTGACGATAACGAAACAAAAGAACCAGCCGCTCTTATGGATAGACCGATTATCACGTATGCACTTGCTGCAAACGAGGAATATTGCTGGTCGCAATAACGACGCAAATCGCTAGCCAACGTACAGACGAGAGTGAGAAGTTTTAAAGGCGAATAATTTTAATAGCAGAAGCGCGCTTTTTACGAGCAAAAGAATTAAGGTTTAAACGAATAACATTAACAGCAGCTTCGGTGAGGGTTCTCTTGAAGAATGGAACTTTTTAACTCCAGGGCTGTTTCCCTGTGTAGAAAATGTATAGTATTATAGTAATTATGCACTTCGTAAACGCTTCTAGACATTAAAGGTACCATATAGACGTTAAATATCCTGAACTTTACGCTATTATTATATTAAAAAATAACAAGGCTTCGTTGCGTAACTTTTATGTGACCTGTGACGTTTTTATTATTAATAAATTTGCTAAGAGTTCTATGTAAAATCGTACAGCTTGATAATCTTTAAAATCTGAAAAACGATCATGCATTCTATCTCTAAAATAATAGCGAGCGTGGGAGAGGTCAAAGTTCACCGTCCAACATAAAGGGCAATATCTCAAGTTCTAAAATCTAAACTATTGAATTTGCTTGTTGTAACTTTTACAGAGAATTTCGGAACCTTATTGTATAATTTGTAGAAGTTAATTTAAGAATAAGCAGCCAAAATTATTAAATATAGTAAATATATCAATATAGTAATTAAACGCAATACATAGCATTTATCGTTTATTTATCATTTATTAAATAATAATATCGCTTCTATACATAAACGAGAATGAACGAAACGCTATATATTTCATATAGTTTTCATTTATTCAGATTACATCAAATCGTTTTCTAATTATTCATCAAAGAAAGAAATTTTCTCTAGAGACAACGAAGTGATGATGTCACAATTATATAGGCACCTTAATAAAGAATTTAGAAATTTTGTCTATAGCTACATTTTATTCAAACTTCATTTTGTCTTCATACGGCTCATTGATTTCAGATGGTCCATCCAAAGAGCGACGAGCAGCGACAAAGGCTCGGTGAAAGTGTTAAGAACATACTCCTGTTTCGCTCTCTAGACGAGGTAAGTTAAACATAGTGCGTTCAACATGATCGCAAATAGGATTGATATAACAGCAACTTGATACATTTGCACCAGTTGGGCGAAATACCAAGAAAATCACGAATAATCTCTCATTAAAAGCAATCGGTTTTGCCAGCAAATCGATTCGCATAATTGAGATAATTGTTCTTTCATTAGCGACGCATTTAAATATAAATTACTGGTCATCACTTGACCAATAGATAATGTTAAACGTTATAGTTATCCTTTTTAATGTATTCTATTTATTTTTAATATATATATGTATTTAATATTTTTATTTTTCAATATATTTATTTAATGTGTTTTTAAATATATTTAATATTTTTTTATAAATATATTCATTTCTCAATTTGTTTTATAATCTTTAATTTTTATTCAGTAAACAGTTACACACATCAATTTATTCAACGTCGCAAATTGAGAATCAACGAAAACAGGAGAGATCTAAAAATTTTCACGTAATAAAAATTGATTTTGTGTTGGCCAAGAATCAACTACGTTAGGAGGAAATATGTATAATGATGAAAGACCTTTATATAAATGTATTTATGTACGTAGAAGCACGTACATCGATTATCACCGCAATATTAACGTTACTCCCCCTGCTTGCGTACTACAATATTAAAGCCGATATTTTAAATCCCGGACGATAATATTGCGCTAAAACGTATTTAAACGTGTATAATAAAATTATTTTTGCAGGAACAAATGGCGGACGTACTGGACGCAATGTTCGAAAAAATCGTTCAACCGGAAGAATTTATTATCCGGCAGGGCGACGATGGTGACAACTTTTATGTGATCGAGAGGTAATACTTTTTCTTTATATATTACAGTTAACGTATCGATAGGCTTCTCCCTTCAGCGGGAAGATCCAGTGAACCAAGAGGGGATGCACAGTCGATCAGTGCTTTTATTCAGAGCTGAAAATATTCAAACAATAATGCTTAGTAATCTAATTATTTTTTGATTGTTCATTTTATTGGAATTTAAAATTATTCAGACAAAACAGAAATATATATAACTGTCTTATAATCTTTTATGTTCTATTTCCGATTGTCTCTATTTGTCGCATTTCGTGACGTGTCGTGTTTCAGAGGAAAGTTCGAGGTGTACGTCAAAGATCCCGCCACAGCAATAGATAATCATATTCACACTTATGATAATCGTGGTGCTTTCGGAGAATTGGCTCTTCTGTACAATATGCCTAGAGCAGCCACTGTCAAAGCTATTACGTCTGGCACACTCTGGGCTATGGATAGGCAAACTTTTCGACGTATTCTCCTTAAATCCGCGTACAAAAAGCGTAAAATGTATGAGAATCTTATTAATAAAGTGCCGATGTTAAAGTCTCTGGAGGTAAGTTTTATATAACTATTTATATAATTACTTTTAAAAGTTTCGAATGTGTGTTTTTTTTTTTTAAATCTTAAGTAGTTCTCGTGTTTTTATTTTGAGATAAAATATACATTGTATATCTTCTTTATCAAAAACACCTCTTCTAGTTAAAAAAAAATATTTAAATAAAAACAAGAAATAATTTTTAAAATATCAACTCCTACGAGATTTGCATCGTATTAAATTCTTCCAGCCTTACGAGCGAATGAATTTAGCGGATGCCCTTGTACCGAAACATTATTCCGATGGCGAGCAAATAATCAGGCAGGGTGACACCGCAGATGGAATGTATTTCGTCGAGGATGGCGTAGTCAGAATCACTAGACTCGGCGAACACGATCGTGAAATTGAGGTACATTTATATTATACGCTAATCCGATTTCCCGCAAAACGATTCGATTACGTCGAGCGCCAAGAAAATTTTCTTCTTACTTAACTCGGGATCTTTAATATCCTACAGATTAATCGTGTTCCGGCTGGCGGTTATTTAGGCGAGCTGGCACTCGTGACGCATAAACCACGCGCCGCTTCGGCCTACGCTGTGGGAGACATCAAACTGGCATGTAAGTTTATTTCATTACTGCCCACGTTTCCTGAATTGATAGATAATCAATAACATTGTGCCGAATAATTGCGAATATCGATATTCGTCGCAGCTTCGGCTTATTAAATGATGGGAGGGAAATAGTCGTGATATCTTCTCTCTCTCTCTCTCTCTCTCTCTCTCTCTCTCTCTCTCTCTGTATATTAAATTGATTCTGAAATGTTTTATATGTAGGATGCCATATTTTAATGGATACAAATAACAATTTGCTTGTCTAAAATGATTATTTCGTTTTTATTTCGTATTTACTGAAACTGTCCTTACGCTTACAGTTTTGGACGTTGAAGCTTTCGAACGTTTACTTGGCCCATGTATGGAACTTATGAAACGTAATATCGATGATTACGAAGAACAATTAGTCAAAATTTTTGGCAGCAAAACCAACATCTCTGACATTCGATGAACTGTTTCTGGGCAGAGCCACGTCGCCATATTGCTGTACTAAAGGACGCGACACTTTCGTACAGCATATAATATATAACAAGCACAAAAGAACTTGTACCACCTACTTCTGAATCTCATCCCGCATGTTTCGGGTATCATTTCGAAATCAACTATTTCGTATGACTGTTCACCTAGACGTATACCGATTAAGATTCGTCGATAATAGTTACCAAGTTTATACCTATGACACACATTGAACAAAGCTGTAGGCTGCTCGATTATATGCGCGTGTTTAATGTAGCAACGGAATTAATGACTATTCTCTAAGATTGTATTAGATCAAAAAGAGAGTATTAGTGCATTCTGTTACGCTCGATTGTTTGCGAAATAAATATTTTTATTTATTATTGCCCAGTGAAAGACCGCAATATAACATTTTGAGGTCTAGGACATACAAGCATTATTATAGTATTTAACTTATCCCCGGAATGACTCATTTATCTTAGTGTACTCAATCTATATGCTCACATACATAATTCGTGCATTATCCATTTTTAAACAGAGCGGCTACATTTATAAGACATAGAAGTCTAAAATATTCGAAATCGAATGCTCTTCTAACATTACTCTCTGGCAAAAAAAATAGATTACAAAAGAAATGAACCATTAGTATTTGAATATTGACATAAATCTTTTGCAAGGTTTCTATGAAATACCTATATATATGCATATCACTCTTGGAGAAGATAATGAAAGTAACATTGCCATTTTTAATGAAAGCAAACAGAATTGTACAATATTCTTTGATACATCCATTTAACAATGTAATATCTTGATAAAATATCAAATCAGACAATCAAGATTTTGTCTATGATTCGCGACAAGTAGTAAATATGTATTTCGCGAATAAATATGCACATATACATACACAAATATGCATTATACGCACATAGTGAAAATAATTTTTTAATTTATAATGTTATTCTACATAATTATTTACGATTAAATTAGTATATTACACACATAGCAGATTTTTTAAAAAAGTAATTATTTTTTAATAAAAGTAAATTTTGAAAAGAATTGTATATATTTCTTTATTAATAAAAATTGATAAACGCCAGAGTCGTATATAAATGCATTCTATTTCGGATATAGAATACTCTCAAAGATGCATAGAAAGTGCAGATCTAAAGGAGCCTTAAAATTGACTTCAATATGCGGATATAATGATGCAAAATAAATGTGTACATTGCACGTACATATACAAAGTAATTTAAAAGAAAAGTTATGTAGCAACTTGCATACAAATGTTAAATAAAAAGAAAGAAGCATAACATTTTCTAATTACTTTGTACTTGCATGTATCAGATTAGGTGAATTTTAGCGTAAAAAGATAACCGCATATTTAAGCCAACGTTAAATTCAAGTGTGTCTTGCTGATAAATAATGGTAACTTGAGGATTGATTACGAGAATCCATCAACTTATTTTTATTACATGTGTACAAGACACGTTATGTATATGACGATATACATCTATCATGGTGATAAAAGTCCAGTCGAAAATTGATTCAATTATGGTATGGACAAGTGCGAATGCTAGTCACTTTTTATGACCGTGTTTTGTCACGCTCTCTTCTGACAATTATATCGGTTGAAAAAAGAAAAGATACTTTTTATTATGGTAAACCGTGTATTTATATGACTGAATCTCGCGACGAAGCGGCAGGGCTTTTTAAATAATATCACAATCGTGTGAGGGAGAAAAGGGAGACTAGTATGAAAGTAAAACAAAGTGAGGATAGCATAGGAATTGTTAATCAATTATTTAGGAGTTTTATCAATTATTCTTCACTTACGACACTGACACCTTGCATGGCCTTAATTTTTTTTCTTTTTTTTCTTGTGCACGACTTATTCTTTTATTATTAACAGCTTAATCAAATCTCGTAGAATTCTTTAAATAAATAGTTAAATTGATTCAATGGATATCTCAATCACAATCTGAAAATAATTCACACTTTAGAACGTTAATAATTGAAAAACAGCTTGTTTGAAATATAATATCTTTAGTCTTCCACTGAATCTCCAGGCTGTGATATTATTTTCGACTGAGTATTTCATTCCTTTCTTGTAATCTCTTACAAGAAAAATAAAAGAATATCATAATCATTATCGAATTCGCGAGGCATCAAACTGAATTTATTTTAAATGATTCAACCAACGTATCTCTGTATATAAGTGAGACAGAAATTTTAATGGATTAACAAAAGTGACTCGACTGTTGGATACGAGAAACTCTACATGTATCACAAAAGAAAAAAAAAGAAAAAACAAAAAAAGAGCTAATTCGCATACTGAGTAATTCAATACGCATGAGTACTTACTTGTGTTAGATTACATTCGCTAAATTAAGTGTGAAGTATTGAAGTTAGAATCTGTCCAATTCGCATTGCTGTATGTATCTATCATGAGATTTATCTATGTTGCGTGTTGTCATTTATGTATGAGCGTGAATATGTTTGCATGTGTATATATGATGATCGAGCCAGTAATTAATTTATGTTATTACTATTAATAGTTGCTATTAATAGTTTACACTCTCCAATAGTTGTATAATTCATGTTATCGTCATTAAAGGCAATATATCGAAATGTCCTACGGATAAATATTGTAACAGTAGTATGCCTTATTGTGCCACTGGATCTTCGTCTTTCTGCTTTCAAAGGAAGAAAGATTTGTGAAAAATCGAAGATACAGATTTTATTGTATATCTGCAATCTACACTGCTGGATAAAACGATTAGACACTTTAGTAAATTTTCATAAATGCCTTTGTAAGTCAATAACGTTAGTGAATTAAGAGTTTACGATTCCACAAGGGCGACAAGATATTGACAAGTATTACTTATAAGATAACTAAGTAACTTACTTAAAGATTTATTCATAATAATTTCATAATATTTTATTCATAATAATTATAATCAAGAAAAAATATTACAATTCTATTTTCATTTAGAACATTTTTCAAGAAAGTGTCTTGTAATTAAAGTCCTATTGTTTCTCTTTCAGTTAAAAATTGATTACAAATATTTGTTAAAATATTTGAACTTTTTTATTGTCATACATTTAATATAAACTCGTGTCCTAATTTTTTCATGGTGTTCTGTCATTGTGTCCAGCAATGTATTATTATGTATTCACGTAAATATATCGATGGGCATTCACTTCTCTTTCCTGCAAATTTTCAAACAATTTAGGTAACATAAAATTTCGAATGAATTCGAATATTATTGAAAATTATAAGTTTTAAATCTTTACTATCTTGAAGAACCAATCTTAAGAAATCTTTAAAACGAATTCCTAAAAAGTGATTTAATAGATAAAAATTAATTTTATATTTCAATATTTAAACAAAGTACATTATAACTGTGAATTACTGTTTAAGTTAACATTAACATGATTTATACAAAAAATAATTTTAATTATTTTCTTAATTTAAAAATAAACACATATTTTATATACATGTCATATATATTTATTACAAAAAAAACTTTTAATAAACGCAAATATTTCAAGATTTTTAAAATTAAGGAGACTTTTAAAGTTATCTTCATTAGTCTTTCAAAAACTTTTATTTTAAATAATATTCGAAATAATTCGAAACTTTCATAATGATTCAAAGCACTTGTTTCAGTCCATCATTAGCTACATCGCAATTCTAGTCCAGAGCGATATGCGACATAGAGAAATGTTTCCGACCAAATAGCATGTATCGAATCAGAGAGATAACGAATTAATGGCGGATATATATCCGTAATGGCTAATAATGTGCCAGTTTTTACGTTTGGCTTATGTTTTTCCTTGTGCAACGATATTCCTAATGTTTTTAATTTATTAAGTATTATTAGTAGCTATTATGTATGTATTAGCAATGCATCATTGTGCACGTAACAATGCACTTTACATCGGACCAATTTCAAGAAGCAGTTGAGCTTGCAACTATTTTCTCTTACTTTTACTCCTTACTTGTATTCCTTCTTTCTATACATCTTCAGCATATTCTTCGCCGATGTAAAAATCCGCTGTATATTTCAAAATGTCATGCGCACTAATAACTTTACTGCCCCTGCTGTGTGTCACGGTAATTTTAAATATTATTTTCACGTGTGTGCACCGTAAAACTTTATATGAAATTATATGAAAGAGCCCGACACATGTGCGATTTGACAAATATCTGCATAAATTTTTAAGTAATTCTCAATTCCTTGTATTAATGCACTTAAAGAAAGCACTTAAGCAATACGAATCTCAAACTCGATTGCGTGCTGACAATCATCCGGTTATCAAAAACATTTGTATTATTAATAGCATCTTGATTCTTTGTCTTTATTTCTTCTTAGAAATCTTTATTGGCATATAAATATCAAAATTTCTACATTTTTTATCCACATTTTATCCACTTCTTTTTTCATAAATGGTGTTAATATTAATATTCCGAGAAAAAGAGATTATGCTTTTAAATTCCTTCGACAGTGACAGTATATAATGTGTCGCAGATGCTTATGTGCAATTAGAATAAAATAAAAGAGAAGTACACTTTCTATGCGATTAAATAAAAACAATCGAGCAAACATTCGGACATTTGAAGTGCCCAGAAGTATATACGTCTCTCTCTCTTCGCGTGTGCCCATTATGTCCCATTTTCCATTATGTCTTCGAACCAAAGCATGATAAAGAGAAACCTCTCTGATTGTATATGAATATTGAATAAATTTAGAACATATAATTAGCCTTAAAATGTGTCTATGTACACGTTGCTTGAAACGTATTATAAGGATATTATATAGCGGATCAGAATGGTTCTCTTTGTGTTCCATTAGTAAGTCTTTTAGTGAATTTCTCGGATGAGTTTTATACATGCCGTTTAAAGCGAACCACGTCGAAGCTTACTTCAAAGTATGTTTTTCATTTTGTAATCCGTTCGACGACGTATCAGCTTGATGTGTCAAAATTCTTAATATCTTTGAGAAAGAAGAGAAACGACGAAAAGAGAAAAGTGACACACATTTAGATACGTAATTGTTTTTTTAAGAATAATTGGTATATCTGTATACATATCGCTTATTTTATATTTTAATAAGACTCCGCAAAGTGTTTCTTTTAAACGTGCGTATATAGATCCATTATTATTGTCTGTATTCCATATGTTTGATAACATTGTTTGCAGTGCGGCTCTCTCCCCCTGTATATTTAATAGATTTTATACACGACACATGCGCATACGTAGGAACGGTTTTAGGTATAACAAACTGTTGTAAATTACAAAATGATACGTACTTAACGTCCCTTCGTTTCGCAATGTGTTATAGTATTGTATAACGAAA